AGCCCTCGGGCGAGGAGGAGGAGGAGGAGGAGGTAGGGTGTTTGCCGCCGAGAAGGCAAACCTGCTTCTCAGAGTACGTGCTAGCACCCGAACATAAAGTCCAGTCAGGCCTTGTTGTCAAAAACAACTCCGGGCCCAGCAGCAGCGGTGACTGCCGAGCCCTGGGACAGCCTTGGGCAAGGAGAGTGGGTTCCCGCTCAGGGTGCTGCTGCCGGATGGTGTCCTAAAACAGGGCATGTGGCCCTGCCTCTGTGTGCAGGGTCAGCACATAAAAGGCTTTTGAGTTTTAAGAACGTGATTAAGCACTTCTGCGAGAGGTCTTGTCTTGAAGTTAGCCGGTTAGCTCAGTCGGTTGAGCATGGTGCCGATAACACCAAGGTTGTGGGTTTGATCCCTGTTCGGTCCCCATGTGTTGCCCGATCTAGTTGAGAGGTGTCCCTGCCCATGACAGGAAGGTTGGGTTAAACGATCTCTGAGGTCCCTTCCAGCCTAGGCCATTCTATGGTTCTACGATCAGTAAAAAACTTCTGGCTCATCCTAGAGGATCTGCAAGTGCTGGGCCTGGTGGTGTGAGGGGAGGAGAAGGAGCCCAGACGAGTCATTTAGCTCGTGTGGCGCTGGCTGAAACTGTTGGTACGTCTGCAGCTGGTAAAATGTGGATAAAACCAAGACCTAAGATATCAAGTTTTAATAAGATTAACTTAAACACGATTTCCTGTAAAAGAACGAGGTGTTTTGCTGCTGTAAAGTTGGGCATAAGCAGTAACTTATTACATGCTTCTTTTCTATATAAAGTTGTTGCTTTGGCATTAGTTACTACATGTAAAATGTATACATAACTAAAAGTTTGGTATATTAAGGTTGTGTTCAGATATTTAAGATACCGCTCTCATTTCATATCTCACTTTTATTATTTTCCTGGTAAGAGTCATAGTCACAGTGCTTCAAGGTATGTTCCCCCTCAAGTAAGGAAAGCTCAGGAGGCACTAGATGACAAGAAAAGAGAAGAATTGGGAAGACTGAAGAAGATGGTGAATGGTCTCATTAATAGGTAATGTAATAAGAAAAGTCATTAATCTTTCTGGTTCAGTGTGACAGTGGTCATCATTCAAAGAAAAGTGGCAAGGATGTGACTTTTCTCTCTGCAAACTGATTTCAAGTTGGCAATCATGTCTGCTATTCTTAATAATAATTATCTGTGTTGATATAAATTCTTCAAATTTGGTCGTTATAGGAGTTAAAAAATCTAGAAAATAAATTTAATATTGGGCTGAATTCCATGCAGCAGGTGCCTGCAAGTGCTAGACATAATTCACTAAGTGTCACTTGGAGTATGCTTATAAAAAAACCCTTATAGTGTGAGTTATAACTTCCCCCCAAAAGTGTGTTTTTTTAAAAAAAAAATTAAATTTCAGCAGTGCTGCAACTGAAGAGCAAAACTTCATAGCTTAAAATACTGAAGAATGGAAAAAGTAATTAACGCTTGCATGCATTAATTGTAGGGTATTTTTAAAGTAAGAAATCTATTGGCATTTTCTTTTATCAGTGTTTTCTGTAAAATACAGTGCAGTTTTTTCATTGCTTAGAATTTGATATGCCTTATGTATGTGATACACTTTATATCTTAGAAAAGTATGAGGTAATTTTCATACTTAATTTCTCCAAAGACTGTGGTGTGCCATAGTTACAAACGCTAAGGACAAAGTTTGTTTTCTTAATAAGTCTGTTCTGTGTGTCAGTGAGAGTGCTTTGTAAATACTGCTATGACTCTGTTTTTACACGTAAATATTTTCAAAAGAAACCCACAGAACTGAATGTATATTGTGGGATTTTTTTAATTTAGTTAACACAGCAGAATACAAAAGAGCTCTTCCAGCTGGGTTTTCAGTCTTCTTAAAACCAAGCCAGTTTCTCTATAAATAATAGGTTGATTGTCAGGTAAATTGAGAGTTGTGGAACCATGTGAAGAGAAGTAAAAGCGAATGTTGATTTTTTTTATTTTTTTTTCCCCCTCAATAGGCTGAGTGAACCAAATTTGCCCTCCATTAGTGGACAGGTGGAAGAGCTCTACATGGCCAACAGCAGAAAGGACATGAATGAAACTCTAACTGATATTCTCATGAGTGCCTGTGTTACTCCAGTTGCCATGCCCGCGAGGTTGGTGATGGAACACGTCCTTCTGGTCAGCGTTCTTCATCATAATGTGGGAATTGAGGTAATTCTTGTGTTTTGGACTAATTTTGTTTGAATGTATTGATTTTATTTTTTTTTGTTTGAATTGCCTTTTAATTTTTGGTTATGTGTCACTAGAAACATCTCAAGTTGAACTTCATCAGTATTTGTAGCTGACTTCCCAAGTGCTCACAAGTGAAAGGGACCAAGTCTGTTGCTTGATCTGATTAATTTATTTCCTCCATGAGTTACCATTGGTCAGTTATTAAAAGCATCAGGTTTTTAATCAAAGTTGTTCCGCGTCCGTAAACCTGCTTTATTTTTTTTAAGCTTTAAATTTTCTTTTCTTTAATTACACTAATCTATTTCTGTTCTCCTGAGTATGTGAGGGTGTTGTTCTTGTATGATGTATATCCAGGTAAGCAAAGTGCTGCAGTTACAGAAATCCTTTTACATCAGTGGAAAAAGTCCTTTTTTAAGCCAAATTGTGCAAATCATCAGGGGATTTAACAAGGTATATCAATGACTCCAGAATATCAGAAACATCAAAACATTTTTGGAGGGTTTTTTGTGTTTTTCAGCCTGGCAAATGGTGGAGATAAAGTATCCCTTACTGTTAAGAAGAAGCTGAAACTGATGTCAGAGGGAAGATTTTAGCTAATTTCAGTGAAATGTCTCTCAGGAAAACAGGTGTTTCAGCACCATGTTCCCAAGAAGTTACATTTCTTTCCACATCTCAACACAAAAGATGTATTGATGCAAATTCTTCAATCTGTCATACAGTGACCCGAATGCTGTCTCTGAAACCGTGTTAAATATCAGATGGTGCAGTTACAGCAACTTTCTCCTTGCAGCCTTGCCATTAAATATTTTTTGTGCCTCTCTGCTGTTTGAAAGGCAATTCTGACTGCAAGTATAACATTATATTGCTATACTGTTTTGAGAAGAGAAGCACAATGTTTTTGTAAGTTAAAGCTTTGCTAAATACCTAGCAATAGGTTTTAGATATAGATATACTAATAGGTGTTAGCAATAGGTGATGTCCAGACTGTCTTCTGTGCTAGTGACTCTGTTAGACAGCATCTTTGAATCTAAGGCTGTAGTAGTTAAGTATACTCTAAAGCCCTGCTGTTTCTGCAAAATCAGTGTAGAATATGCATCACACAGAAGTGCGACAGCACAGCTGCATTTTGGATTAGCTTGAGCAAAGCAGAAGTTGGGATTTCGATCGCCATGTTTACACGTTTGTGTGATACGATCATGGAAGAGCTAAAACCTAAGCTGGTGAAGGCTCATAATGCAAGTGAGTCCTGCTACTGGGACATGTGGTTTTCATGAGATCAGCAAATATTAGCACCATAATAACGTGGGGCAGTCTTTTTTAGCGATGATGTGTTCATTACCTTCCTAAATTTTGGTATGCTTGCTGATGCCAGTCTTTAGCATCAGTTCTCTCTTAGAGATTGCAAAATTTCCTGTCCCAGCTGGACCACTGACAAACTGTTCAGAATCAGCCCAAGCTCATGCTCAGCAACTGTGAAAACTTGATATGTTGAGGGTTGTTTTACAATATTATTTTTTACACTCCTGTTACAGATTTTTTTTCTGAAATGCTGAACTCTGTGATGCATTTGGTGTTTGACATGCAGCTTTTACTGGATGAATGACTAGCAGTAACAGCGTGCTAGCCCGAGAGCTGGGAAGATGCTAATATGTGCCTGTGAAAATGATGTAAACAAGTCCTGATATATATCTGCTCTCAAGTTCGTAGTGGTTGCCTTTCTTGCTCAGACTTTAAAAGGCAACTGGATGGCATATATGAGGTATAAATAAAATACACTTTTAGAAAATGTCACACCACTTAGATATTTGTAGATGTAAAACATATTGGTTGAAAGAAGCACCAATATTTCTTTAAAAATAATAGTGGAAATGCCCCAAAAATGAATGCTTTACAGATGTCTGTGAAATCTACTCACACTTAACTCCTGATTTATTTTTTTTAATTTTGTTTTCCCCCCCCTTAATGGAACTGTTGCCAGGTCGGTGCTCACTTTTTGGAAGCCGTGGTGAAGAAATTTGATGAACTCTGTAAATGTGATGCTGAAGGGAAAGAATGTGAAAATCTGCTGGCCTTAATTGCTCATCTGTATAACTTCCATGTGGTTCATTGCCTGCTCATCTTTGATATTCTGAAAAAGCTTGTTAGTGCTTTCACTGAGAAAGAGATTGAGTTGATTTTGTTTCTTCTGAAAAACGTGGGCTTTTCCTTGAGAAAAGACGATGCGTTGGCTTTGAAGGAACTGATCACTGAAGCCCAGAGGAAAGCAAACACAGCAGACAAGAAGCTCCAGGATCAGACTAGGGTATGTGCATGTGTTTTAAAGACTTTTCTGTTCTGAGTAGACTCGGATGCATGTTTTAATTTACCAAGATGGTTTTTGCTACGCCCTATTTCAATTCTAAGTTACCATTAGTGTTCAGTTGTTGCATTCAGTTACTTGCATTCTTCTTATCTGTCTTGCTCTGTTAGTTCTTAGGACACAGGCACCGAAATGCTTGTAATAGGTGAGACTAGGACTAGTTTGTATCTTGTATAAGGGACAGTGCTTCTGTTCCATGATGCTTTCCAAACTTCAAAAAATGGTCACTCAGGCATGGTGTTTAGCAGATAAAGCTTTGAACGTAAGCTCAAACACAAATTAGTAGGAGTTAAAGTAAACGTCCTTTTCTATGTTTGTACTCAGGTGATGTAGATGTTGGTGTATATTGCCAGCTGAGCTGCTTATTCTCGCAGAAGAGGAACTTCAAACTACACTCTCTGCTTTGTTTAATAAACTGAGAGCACATAATCCACAGAAATGTTTCTTTTCCTCATAGGTTCGTTTTATGCTAGAGACTATGCTGGCACTGAGGAATAATGACATGCGTAAGATTCCTGGGTATGACCCTGAACCAGTTGAAAAACTCCGCAAATTGCAAAGGACACTGGTGAGAACTTTCTTGATAGGTGTAGTATAGCTACTCTGTAACCAGAAATAATTGTTTTGTAAGTTGGCTTGGTGGGCTATAGTATTTTTTTATTCATTTAGCAGTCTGAAACTCCTGTGGACAAAAATCACTTCTTGGATCGTTAAGTATTACCTCCAAGTTAAGTCAGCGGTCAGCCAGCCTTCTGCCAGTTTGAGAAAGGACGTAATACGTAGCCAAAGGCTTTGCCTCAAAGTCCTACACTTGAAAAAGAGATTGTGGGATCTCTAATGATTATGCAGAAGAAGTGAGTCATGACAAGTTCTTTTTTCCATGATTTTGGAAACAATCACTGACTCCTAACTTCACCAGAATAATTTAGGAAGTCTAACACTTCTAAAAACCTAGATGTTTTTGCTTTATTCTTTCTTTTTTTTTTTCTTTCTGTCAGAGAGAGAGCAGTTTGTGTAGAACGAACCAGGGCACCAGTATAAAATGCCTGAAAGTAATTATCTTTCTGGATTGAGATCTAATTCATTTTTACAGGAATTGAATCTGGTTTTAGAGTCTATGTATCTCCAATCTGAAAATTACACTGCTTGCCTATGACACCTAGAGCATCTAATTTTTCAGAAATTTGTAAGTGCAGGATGTGCATATGACTGGTAACAGGCCAGGCAAAAATAAGCTAGGTAACCTGGTTCTGTAGAATTTAAATTATTCAGAGTTCTCCTGGTACGCTTCTGCACTTATTTGTTCAAAATTCCTGTTTTGTCTTATTTTGTTTGAATTATACCAAGGCAGTTTGTCATGTCATTTTATTTGATGAAAAGTTCAAAAGGAAATTTTCAGTGTCTGCATCAAGCCTGAATTCTGATCAGGTTTTATGACTAGAAGATGGTTACTGTAAAAAAAAAAAAAGTCACCATTCTCTCTTTTTTTCTTTCTGTTTTTTTTTAAATAAAATCAAGAGCTTGTAAATGTAAATTTAAGCAACTTCTTGTATTTGAGAAAGTAGAGCATATGGGAAATATTTGAATTCTTTTCAGGCTGCTGACTGAAACTAAAGGCTGGGGAAGGAACATGTGAAGACCTTTATGGAGGTTAAGTTAGTTGTTAGAAGTATTTGTTTAAAAGTAATTTTAAGTAATTAAAGTGTTTGTTGTTGGTTGGGTTTTATTTTAAAGTAATCTTCACATAAAAACATTATGCATCTTGTGCGTTTTGTTATTCAAGGTTCGCAGCAGTTCTGGAAAAGACACTCAGCTCCGTGTCTCCCTGGAATCTCTCCTTAGTGCTGATCAGGTTGGTCGCTGGTGGATCGTTGGGTCATCCTGGAGCGGAGCACCCATGATCAATGATACGAACGACGAGAGTCGGCAGAAACTGCACATAGGAAAGGTAAATCCAGGCAGTGCTAGTTTTGAGCCTAAATGTGTGTGATCTTTTGAATATTCTTCATACAGGTGAATAAACTCATTTCAGAGCACACCAAAAAAACCTTCACTGACTCTTGCAAGACTAAGCTTTTGGGCTGTAAATTTTGCTCTTATATTTTTCAAAATGTTGCACTCATGCACTTAATGAGAGCTGGTACTACAAATATTATAGTGTGTCTTGTTTTTTCTCATCTGGTGGGTTTGTGAAAGTAACTTATGTAAGTGGAAGAAGAATCATAGAGACTTGATTTAAAAGTGGATTTTAAAAGTATGAGTTTTGCCAGGTAATATTGCTCTGTGGGTGGCATATATCTAAGCTGATTCTAAAAGTAGTATGGTGAGATGGTGATGGTGACTTACATTAAGTAATGACATCTTAAAAATAATTGGCACAATTAAAGTACATTAAAATATATTTCCCTAGCTGAAAAAGCTCCTGATGGTGCCTGTGCCTCTGAACAAAAGCTGAGGACATTGGATTGCTGCTTCATAGTTTACTGGAGATCTTAATGGTCTTACTTGAGGCTGCACAGAAATAGCTTTCTTAAAGTGACCATAAATAAAGTAGCATTTAATCATTTTTGGTTTAGGTGAGTTCAAAAATATTGGATCTTGCTCGTAAGCTGAGAATGAACACCGATATCAGGAGAAGTATTTTTTGTGTCTTGATGACAAGTGAAGACTACCTGGATGCCTTTGAAAAACTTCTCAAGTAAGTACAGACTAGCACACAAGACAGCCCAGAACCAAAAATAACATTGGCTAAGTTAGAAAAATAACATTGCTGGTCTGGGCTTAAGAGCATTTAGTTGATAACACAATTAAAGAAGTGTATAGCTGGGGATCCACGTAGGGTGAAAGGGTAGGAGAGGGACCAGAATCCTGGTGTAAGGACTGGTGGGGGCGGGCAGAGCTGACTGGCAGTCACAGGAAAGAAGCAGCCCCTGTTACTGTCACTGGTGTCTGTAAAAGTGCTTGACAGCATCTTTTGACTTAAGGAGCTTGTAGCTTTTTGTGTTGAAGACGTGTAGCCCAGTCTAGCGGGTGGAAGTCTGTTGCAGGTTTGTCTCCGCACAGAGGCACAGCAGACGCCCCTCAAAACATCCCTTGGTTTTGTTGCTGGGTTTCTGTACTGCTGCCGTCTCCTCTATTTCTTGTTAAGGCATCTTGCAGGTCTTTGTTCGTACATGCACGACCTGGTGGTGTTCTAGCACCTCAGTTTCCCTCCTGCGGAATTTATTAGCTTTGGATTTGCTCCAGGGTCACATTTCATGTAAAGACCTGTTTTCTTACAGCTTGGCAAACAGCTCTTTAAGAAGACAACGTGGTCAGGGAAAAGCTTGAACTAAGCTATTCTTTGTGTTTGTCAGAATATTAATTGTACGTCTGTAGTATCTGGGAGGGGAGAGATCGAGTCTAAACTTTTCGGTTGCAGCCTTGTAATTCAAGGGAATTGTCTTACCAGGATGGCATGCAATTATTTAATTTGCTAACCAAACCAGAACAGACTTTGTAATAAAGTCAACTAACATTTGATTAAATGCCACTTCTGCAAAACACAGCTTGGATTTAAGACTCTGATGGAATCATTCCAATATCATAATATGGCCAGTTCAATTAAAAGAAATTAGCTGCTGCTGCTGCAGTTCTTGCCAAGACGTGGTAGCTCAATTTGCAAATTGATCCTTGACTCTCAATCACACTATTTAAACTAGTATATACCAATCTGTATACATACAGACTGGGCAGAAGAACTGTCTGCAGTTGCGTGGTGAGTGTTGATACTGATTTTTATACAGCCAGGTTGGAGGAATTCTCAAATCTTGCCACATCTGGCAGAGTGCAATGGAAAGTCCACAGAATTGTCAGCGAAGGAGTTCACTTCAGTGTGAGCATGCGTTGCAGGGTGCACGGGAATTGATGTTCAAATCTTTGTATTCATACTCTTGTGAGACCCCCACCTGCAGTGCTGTGTCCAGATCTGGGGCTCTTGATATTAAAAGGGCATGGACCCATTGGAGCAGGTCCAGAGGAGGGGCACAAAAATCATCAAGGGGCTGGGGCACCTTCCCTACCAGAACAGGCTGAGAGTGGGGGCTGTTCAGCCTGGAGAAGAGAAGGCTCTAGGGAGATCTTAGAGTGACCTTCCAGTACCTGAAGGGGGCTTACAGGAAAGAAGGGGAGGGACTCTTTATCAGGGAGTGTAGAGATAGGACAGTTTCAAACTGAAAGAGATTAGATATTGGGACGTTCTTTACTATGAGGGTGGTGAGACGTTGGAACAGGTTGCCCAGAGAAGTTGTGGGTTCCTCATCCCTGGAAGTGTTTGAGGCCAGGTTGGATGGGGCTTCAAGCAACCTGGCCTGGTGGGAGGTGTCCCCACCCACAACAAGGGGGTTGGAACCAGATGATCTTTAAGGTCCCTTCCAACCCAAACCATTCCGTGATTGATTCTGTGTTTGATGTCATTTTCATGAGGAAGAGCATGAGAAATATATAAAGAAATATTTTAACTGCACTTGCTGATTCGTCTGCTGCTAGGTCTCTGGCATAGTTGAGGTGTGGATAAATCCAGGCTGCTATAGTTTTGCTTCTTTTTCTCCTCCTTAACAGCAAAAGAAATTAGTTTCAAGCCAGAACAGCTCCCTGAAGTGGCTCAACTTGAGCTTGCAGAAGTGGCAATGTAAGGGGTGGGTTTGGAACACATCAGTGGAGACAAAGAGGAGAGGGTGAGACGTGATCCATCTCATCAGCTGAAAAGTCAAACCTCCTTCACAAACCACAAATCCACACAGGAGGGGGTACAAATGCTTCTAACGTTGATGGAGAGGCAATTTTTAAAGCTCTTTCAGAGGTGAAGAATTTGAGAAGCTTTGTGTCTCTCAAAAAATCGAAACTTCTAGAAGTCTTAGATACCCTGTTGTAGTGTGATGTGTATTTCAGGATAGTATGTGATTATATCTACTAAAATATTTTGAATTTACTTCTAAAAGGTAAGTTTGAGTGTTGCTATTTTTGATCTGAAGGCGATGATCTTCTTAGAGGCAGGCTTCTGCTGGTAGTAAATAGCCTATTTCAGAGGCAGTTTTCCCACATAGAGCAGGAAATTCTGAAAGTGAGCAAGCCATAGGAGTCCCTGGGAATAGTGTAACTCATAAACGTTTGAGTAGGGGAGGTGGTTGCATATTCTTTATTGAAGATTATCAAACTTCTGAAGTCTGTACAGGTTTATGGTAAAGCTCAGCAGTGAAAGACAATCCTGACTCTAAATTTAATTTCAGATTTTTAGGAAAGCTAGATCTGGAGAGATAAAATGCTGCTAGCTCTGTGGAGAAGTGAAGGTAGAGACAAAATTGAACATCAAAGTGCTGTTTTACTTAGTTACAACTCTCTAGCAACATGAATATTTCCTAAATTAAGCTCATCATGATAGAAGTGAGGGTGGGCAAGGGAAAGAAGGATTTGCCAAATTAGCATTTTCAGTGTAATTTCCCGGGTTGTCTCTTAAATGCATGTCTGGGGGCTGAAAACCACTGTGTGTTTTTGCTCTAATAAAATCAGATAGAACTTGGCTGATGGGGGAGCAAGCATGTTATATCACAGACACAGCACTTAAAATGCTGGTCTCTTTTAGAAAAGCAGGCTTTGAAGTTTTCACCGCTAATCAACAATCAGCCTAGAAATCATCTCAAATTTTCCTCTTGTAAAACCTTAAATTCTGTTGGGTTTTTTGGCTGAAAGACAATATTTTCTCTGTTGATCTGGTGTTTGTGATCAGCTGTGGTGGCAGATGTCTGGAGGTCTATACAAACAAGGAATTTTGGAATCAAGCAATGACAAACTACTCTACGGATGGTAGAGCAAGTTCCAGTAGAGTCAAACTTCCTTAGAAAATACACTTGAGTTATATTAATACCATATGAAACCTGAACTGGAAGCAATGACAAGAATTTTGTTTGACATTTTTCAGTTTTTAATACGAAGCATTTTTCATTTTAATTGGTTTTAATGCTGCCAAGCATTTGGCAGCCCTGGAAGCTAAATCACGTTACTCACCGAGCAGGTGCGTCGCAAGTTAGTGACCGTTCCTGCCAAAGCGGCTCAGCCCTCTCTGAGACTGGCCAGCTCCTCGAGCAGGAGGGCTCTGCAGTCCTTGCCCTTTATGCTGAGGCAACCAACAGAAGTACTTGTTTATAATGGCTGTTTTCTTCAGACTTTCTTTTAAGATGTTTTGAAATCACTCTCTGCATACAGTAATGCATTTCAAGGGTTATGTAGTGTGGAGTTGACCTGGGGATTAAAAGATTCATGTCACCAATTCAGTAGGAAAAACACTTTAAAATATTTTCTTATGGTGAGTAAATACCACACAAGTGAAGGGTCCTGGACACATTTCTCTAAATTAGCTTGTGTTGGTCCAAAGGCTGGTTTTCCTCGCGTGACCATCGGTGCAAGTGTGAGAGATCCACAGCAGGGTCCTGCAGTTCTTGTTTCACTGTTCAGCCTTGGGTTTGGCACCCTGTGCTGCAGCGCGTGCTGCCGCTGCATTCAGAGGCACAAGACTCTCTGGTGACAGTGACCTCTCCTTTGTTTTTCTCTGTGGAGAGCCACAACCATGGAGTGGGCTACCTTTCCTTCCCTGTAACTGTACTTTTGTCATTCCACTTCTGTCTGTTGAGGCCTTGCTTTTGCAGCCGTTCCTTTAACATCAGTAATACTGTAACGTTTCCTAATTGCTGTACAAGAGTACCAATTTGTCCACCGTCTTCAGGATTTGAGTCCGTTTGATGTTTTAAAGACTTTGTAAGAAATTTCTAAAAAGTAAAATGTAATGTGGTGTTAGGGGGTTTGTTTAAGTATTCCTCTGGGATGTTGGCTGTAGTTCTTACTTTGTGGACATAATTTTTTCCTTACTAAACAATTCTCATTCTCTTGCTAAATTTTAGGCTTGGACTGAAAAATCAGCAGGAGAGAGAAATTGTTCATGTTACCCTTTACTGCTGCTTGCAAGAGAAGACATATAACCCCTTCTACGCGTATTTGGCTGGCAAGTTTTGTGAATGTGAAAGACGATTTCAGGTGAAAAAAAATCTGCTTCTACTTTGTTTTGGAGTCATTATTGTGGTTAGAAAGACAATTGTTAAACGCCTGAGAATGATGCATGCTGTTAAGCTCTTGACCCTGAGGAAGCATTCTGCTGGTGTAGCTGTGCGTTCAGGAAGGCGTACTTGTGGTCAGATCTGAATAGGAAATAAAAACTGCAGAAGGTTTGCTTTCCTGTGTTTTACACATTTTAAAAGAATTGAGTACTCTGATCAAGCATCTCTGTTAATAAAGAGAAGGTCAGAAGGTTTTGTTGTTACCCATTTAAACAGTCGCTTGATTTGCAGGCTTGGTTTTGTGTTTTTTTTCTCTGACATCCAGATGACGTTTCAGTTCAGTATTTGGGACAAAATCAGAGAACTGGAAAACCTGTCAGCCACTGCCATCTCCAACTTGATTTCACTGTTGGTGCACTTAGTAAGGACAAAATCATTGCCACTTTCAGTTCTCAAGGTTGGTGTGTTTTCTTTTGGAAATACTTGTGTTTTCCTGACACATGCTAGTTCTATGGAAAGTGTATTTTCTCAGTGATCTAGCTGGTACGGTAGCTCTTTGTGGTCATAAACCAGGGCAAGTGATTAGAGTAATGCTATCATTTGGGAAAAAAGGAACTTCTGGTGACCCAGGCATACAGAAAGTCTACAGTTCTGTATTTAGGACAGTTGTAATATTGTTTTGCTTAGAGTATCCAGAGTTGGAACTGAGGATCTTTTTTAGCAGGCTATGTCACAGAATCACAGGATGTCAGGGATTGGAAGGGACCTCAAAAGATCATCTAGTCCAGCCCCCCTGCCAGAGCAGGATCACCTACAGTAGGTCACACAAGAACGCATCTGGGTGGGTTTTGAAAGTCTCCAGAGAAGGAGACTCCACACCCTCCCTGGGCAGCCTGTGCCAGGGCTCTGTCACCCTCACAGTGACAAAGCTTTTCCTGATGTTTTTGTGGAACCTCCTATGTTCCAGCTCGTACCCATTGCCCCTTGACAGTGTATTTTGTGCTTTGCTTTGTAGCTGATGTTAATTTTTATTAGACTAGAAAAATATCTACTGAGCACATGGATTTCTAAAAGGGGAGTCCATACAGTTTTGTTAGAGCAACAGTTGAAATGTGTTAAAAAGGCAATTATATGGATTGTCTTTGGTACTTCTAAGGCATTTATCTAATTGAGAAATTATATCTGGTATTCTGGTGTGAGTAGACAGGTTATTCCTTAGGAAATTCTCTGCTTTCCTTATTGATTGGCTTTTGGAGGAAGCATTCTCAGCTAGTTCTTCTTTGCTAGACTTAAGAATCAGTATATATGGGAGACAATTTGTGTGCTAAAAGTTGTTTATTCAGAGGAGAATTCAGCTGTTTGAAGTACTTGAATTAATCTAATTCTCCCTGTCTGTCTCTACTAGGTAATTGAATTCAGCGAACTAGATAAACCCAAAGTCCGTTTCTTGCGGCAAGTGTTAAGCATGCTGTTAACCAAAACAGATGCTGAGGAACTTCATGACATTTTTGTGAGGTAAGTGATCGGATTGATCTCTGGGGAGCCCGTCGTGAGTAGTAATTAAGAAGATAAGGAATTTGCTTATTTTGTTTGGAATTACGCAGTGCCTTTTCCAAAGATCAGCCAGCCATCCCTTCAAAAGTAATCTCTTCTGCGTGAGTGGGGGGAAGTGTGTCATTGGTGTGTTAGTACAGGCTCTGTTACAGACACAGCTCTGGGAAGTGTTACACAAAATACGACTTTCAGATATCCAAGGTACCATTTTGGGTTTTCACCAGCAGAGCTTTGTAGTTACCCACTTTCCTCACTGCTTGGCCATCTGTATGCAGCGGATTCACTCTACCAGCACTCTTTGCTAGAAGGTATCTTTAGTGTACGAAGGAAAACTAAAGAAATACTACTGAGGGAAAGTTTTGGGGGAGATTCAATCACCTTTTCCTGGAAAATCTTATTTTCATACGTGGGGTGGAGTTGCCTGGGGAGACTCCAGCCTTAGAGGTGCTCGGTACTTCAGTGGGTAAGACTCTGAGCAACCTGGCTCCACGTGGATGTTTGTCTGGCTTTAAACAGGAGGTCGGACAGGATGACCTGCCAACATCCTTTCTGACTTAAATTATTCTCTGATTTTGTGATTTATATTAAGCTTGCAATGTTGCGTAAGGTTAATAAAAATCAGGTGATGATGTTTCCACCATTCCTTGCAATGCGAGGAGGCTCAAACACGATGGTTGCCTCTTCTTTTTGCTGTAATATAATTGTTTACATAAAACAAGGCAAAGGCTCCAATATTCCATTTTATTGTTGAGGATCAGTTGTATACTGAGTGCGTTCAGGCTTTTTGCCAAACCAGTGTAGACTTGCTGGTAATTTGAAAGCCTTTTCAGAAAAGCTCCTTTTAATAGGTTGAGGGGTTTTTTTCCTATGTCTCTGTTTGAAGAAGATAAAGGAAAAAAAGAACAACTTCTGAAATAGTAGGAGACTAAATACTGGTTTTGATCTGTATCTTTACAGGGTGTCTGACAACCCCAAACTGGGAATTCTGCGAGAAAGCTTGAAACTCTTCCTCAACCACTTCTTGCTGAAAAACGGACAAGCCCAAAAAAGCGCTGAAGAAACTAGCTTATTAAAAGAAAGAGTTGAACTGGCAACCAAGGCTTTGCAATCAAAAGAACCCAAATTAAAGCTATAGTTGTTTTTCTAATAAAACATATAGAGAAACTGAGCCTATGTGAGGCTTTGTTAGTCTTTCAGACCCAAATAACTGAGAATAGGAAGAGCCGCATCACTCCAAAGGATTCATTTTTGATGTAGTTCCTTTGCTCCATGCACTGGTTACAGGTTTCATTGCAGATGGTACAAGGGTTTTAGGAAGAAGGGGAAAATATGTTTTTTGACATGTCCCTTTCTAGTATGAGTGCTTCGTGTTGCTGGTCAGTACCTGGAGAGGAGGACAAGATTTCTCTTATGTGATGCTCCCAGTCAGCAGTAGCGTTCTACCTTGCATATTTTAACCTTTCATTTAAAATAATAGCATAATCCTGACCACTGTGTCTTAAAGAAGCAGCCTTAACCAAAGGCTTTTAATACCTACGATCATTGTACTTGCCTGAAGAAACAGGCCACTAGGTGGCCTAAGTACTGGTGGGTTGAGTTTGGAAGAAATTTTTTCTTAAAGTGTTAAAGTTATCTGCTAATTCTGTGAATTGTTTACCTGACTGTGGGTCAGGAAAAGATCTTCAGTTGGATTCAAAGCTGCCAGAAAACGACTTGAAGATCTGACTTTGCCCAATTATATTGGCTTTAGAGATCACGATGTAGTTTTATTGCTCTTTTAGCCATTTTTTTCAGCTTTAAAACTGGAATTGCCTAATCGCTCGTGTTAATTGTATTTTTCTAGGCATAAAGGATAATATCAGTATGAGTCTTTTAGTGAGGGAATACCTTCCTTAAGAATTTGCTTGCGTTTTTCATTCAGAGGTTTAAAAAAAAAGAAAAAGCACATTTCTTTCTGTAACAGTCGCTGTTAATGGTTTGTTTCTTTTGTCACCTTAACACTACACATTAAACTGTGATGATTTTTTTTTTTTTAAGGCTTTGCTGTTTGTACTACCTTTACTCCAGCTGGTTGACCAGGAGAGGAATGGCATTAAATTGGGGAAGCACTTTCTCATCTGCAGCATGTGCTCCATCTGCACAATCTGCCTGCGCTGGAGCTGCCAGCCCTGTTCCTGTAACCAGGCTTTGCCCTCTGCTGTTCAGTAGCCGCTCACTCATGGTGCCTCTGAATTGCGTGTGACACCAGTTAGTCTGTTCAGCTGCTTTGGATCTGTCCCTGATCTGAAAATTTTCTCCTACTAGGCATCCTCCAGAAAAAGTTCCGTTCTGCAGCAACAAACATGGACAAGCAGTTGTTCTTTTTATTTTTTTTCATCAAAGAATTGAATGTAGACTATTCAGTTTCATGAGTAATGATTTTAGGTGGAGGAGCACTTCCCCCGGCAGTCAGGGAGCTGATTTTCTCAAGCTGTAGGGAGCAAGAGGTCCTGGGAGCAGAGACACGGTTTCAATATCCCAGGTTTACACCAGCACGGTAACACCAGCACGGAAGAGATTACCGGCAGAAGACCAAGAGCCTTCCTCCAGCCCATTTCATACCACTGGCAACTTTTAAGCATACAAAACGTTTCCCCTCAGTTGCATCTTGCATACAGCAGCCAGAAGAGCAGAAAATTAGTTAAAATACTTCTAAAATTCATACCAGTTAGCAGAAGTATGCAGCAGGAGCATTGACACTATTTTGATGGATACAAAAGTCACAACTTTGCTGGGTGCATCTGAAGAGCTCTCCTGTACACAACCGTGCCAAACCTCGCGTTTTAGTTCTGGAGGCTGGACTTGGGAGAAAATCTATGCAAGCCCCCCGAAGGTGGCTGCTGTGGAACGCGGGGGAGCTCGGTGAGTAAGAATTGCTCCCCCTAGACTGCAGCAGCCACCTAATTAATTACCTTTTCTGCAGGAGTTTAGGTAGACCCAGCCTTTCAACGTGTCTGCGGTTTAATAATACATAAATGGAAACACATTGCCGTCGCTGGGAGGTTGAGGCCACTTTGCTCCTCGAGATAAATCTTGAAACATCTTCCTTAAACGTGACGGGCTGCCGGTTCCTGGTTCGAACGCTTTGCTTGCTGATGAGAATTCACCACCTTTGCTGCCTGTGGAAAGCTTGCCTGGCGTTTTATGGGTCTGAATCTATTCACTTGCTGCAGCTGCCTGAGGCAGTGTGATGCAGGTGTCGCTACACAATTAAAGGAGATGGGTTTAACCTTACAGTCTAAAATTACAGTTGCTTTTTTTTTTTTCTTTAAACTGAGACTTGCGTTCATTATTATTTATCCCAAGCAGTTAGTATGTTTGGTTCAAACTTACAGTTATTAGAGCCACTGCCTTGTTTCTGAGGAAACAAATTTTTGCCTGCCTGCAGGTTTTGCATTTGTCATGTTTATGTGTAAACATGACCCTTTTTTTAAAAACTGCATTTTCAAGGAAAGCAGCCAAGATACACTGCCAGTCCACAGCTCTGTAGGCCTGGTACAAGGACAGTTGCTATGAATGATTCTGCCTAAGTCCTGTCCTTCTCACTTTGGTTCAGTGAGTGAACCACTCTCAAACAGAAATTTGACAATTCTAAGATAAATGTGAATTCCTAAGTGTTGGATCTCACTGTGTTTAACAGTTTTTTCCATGGTCCTACCAGCCAAACTGCCACAGCTTGACAGCAGTGGCAGGCCTGTCACAGGGTGCTATCGTACACGTCTGTGAGCTGTCGCTCCTGTGGTCCACTCGCATCCCAAGGATGTGAAAAGGAAAGCTGAGATTATTTTGTATGTATTTTTATATATTTATATTAA